ATGTGGACACTAGAGTAGCTACCACCTGTATCATAATACAGAACATTTCCAGCACCCCATAGGGTTTCTTCATTGTCCCTCACATAAGTTTCAGATAAGTGGACTTGCACAATATGTACTCTTTATATCTGGCTTCTTCCTCTCAGTATGTTGCACTTATATCAGTACTTCATTCTTTTTTATTGCTATATAGAATTCTGTTGTAAAAATATACCACACTTTATATACGGTCTCCTGTTTATGGGTATTTGGGTTGTTTCCAGTTCTGGGTAGAATTATGAATAAAGCTGTCATAAACAATTCATACATTTTTTTGTGGCTATATGCACTCATTTCTTTTATATACCTCAGAGTAGAATTGCTAGGTCATAGGGTAGGCTTATGTTCAGTTTTAGTTCAAACTGCTAAACGATTTTCTGAAAGATTATACCATTTTACCCTCCCACTGGCAATATATGAAATTTGCCATCATTCATCCACAGCAACCCTTGGTGTTTTCATCTTTCTTAATTTTAACCATTTTGGTGGGCAATATTTATTGTTTTTCTTTTTTTATAGTGAATGTGCACACTTCATGAGAGCAACATGTGAGGATGCAAAGAAAGATGGGTATCATGTGAAAGTGATTCATTCTTGTCTACTTCTGCCATACTTTGTCTTTATGGTCCCATGTAGAACCAGGGCTTTGAATATTTTGTGATTGGCAAAGCTGATCTGATCTGATTCTTGGTGATGCTATTTCACAGTACTAATCTTGTGTTGTGGTTAAAAGCATGGATTCAGGAACCAAGCTGCCTGGGTGTGAATCCCAGTTGTGCTCCGTTATCCCTGTGTGCCTCAGTTTACTCATCTGCAAAACAAAATAGTAGCACCTGTCTTATAAAGTTATTGTATTATGAAGATGAAAAGAGTTAACATATGTAAAGTACCTAGATCAATGCCTAGGCCAGAGTAAATGCTATATAAGAATTAATATTTATTAAAATGAATTATATTTACGTTAAGACTTCGAGTACATATGAGTAAAGGGAAAATTTGTAAAGCAAATTTTCATTTTGTCTTGTACTGAATAATTATTACATGTTGGACTTATGTTATTGAGATACAGATCCAATCCTGAGGGGAATCATGTTTAAAACAAAAAATGTCTTAATCATCTGAAGAGCTAGATTTATAGATAGGCAAAAGGGCATTGCTCAGAAGATTCCCTACCCCAGAATATCTGTTATTGATGTCTATAATTTCATCTTTGGACTTATTTTTTCAGTCTTAGAGACTTTAGTAATTTTAAAACACATATTCCTTGAGAATAGATAATGTGAAAACTCTGTTAACCAGAAACACTTTAGAAGAAAAACTGACATGTAGATGAGGGAATAAAAGAGGAGTACAGAAAGGAAAGCTTAGAGCAGTGGTCCCCAACCTTTTTGACACCAGGGACTGGTTTCATAGAAGAAATTTCTCCACGGAGTGGGGCTGGGGGGAGGAGGCCTTGTGAGCGAGGGGAGGGGCTGTAAATACAGATGAAGCTTCATTAGCAGCTCACGTCCTGCCATGCAGCCCCCAGGTTCCTGAGTTTCATGGAAGACAATTTTTCTGGGATGGGGGTGTGGACGAGGGGGGCAGCAGAGCTCTATAGCCTGGTCCCTAACAGGCCAGGAACAGGTACCTGTCCGCAGTCCTGGGGTTGGGGACCATAGGAGAGGGATGCTAAAGCATCCATTTAGGTCTGATCTTTTCAAATAAGTGTTTAGAACATATTTAGTCTTATTCTAAAGTAACTAATGCTTTTTCCATCTTTACAGAAAAGATATGCTTAATAATGAATACATTTGTAAAGCATTTTGAAAATTCATGCTTTCTGACAATGGGTTACGGCCTTCAATTCCAGCTTTACCTTCTGTCTCTCTCGCTCTTGTTCCCTTCCCTGCCCCTTGTAGTTTATAAATTATAAGACAGGAGTAAAAAATGGAATAAGCAAAAATAAAATTTTTCAGTGCCTTGCCTGGCTACTTAAAACATTCTTTTTTGACTTCCTTCTCTGTAATCTCTTAACTTCTGGGATCACATATTATCTTTGGGAAAGCGTGGAAGGAGTAATCCCAAAGTTATCCTTTGGACTTTATTTTCCATTCTCTTCCCTCAAAATAGGTTGAATGAGTGTACTGGAATTCATTGGTAAAGTAAATATACTGGTAGTAGAGTGCAGATTTATAGTCTATGCCTCTATGGCATGTTCAGTGTAGGGTGAAGGATGACTATTGCTAAATACTCAAACTTTGCTAACTTGTGAAACAAATATACCATAGGATAGTGTTATAGGCAAACCTAACCTAGGTGGTGTAAGAAGCTTAGGGAAAGCGTCCTGGAGGAAATGAATTTAAACTGAGAGCCAAATGATTACTTTAGCTAGTTGGGGAGGGATTAGGTAATCTAGGTAGAGGTAACAGCATGTGTGAATTTTTGGAAGAACTGAGTTTTTCATTTGAAATGGAGAAAAGATGAAAATTGCCAACTCTTAACCAACACATTTTGTTTATTATTTTATAGGTAATTTCGGGACAGAAACTCACACGACTATTTACATCAAACCAGATATTACCAAGTGAATGCTTGAGTTGCCTCGTTGAGCTACTTGAAGACCCCAGCATAAGTGCTTCACTAATCTTAAGTATTATCAGTTTGCTGTCTCAACTAGGTAGTACATTTAGTTTCTCTTTTTGAGTTTTTGGGAGATGTATGAATTTAATATTTATTAAAGTGCAGATTTAGTTATAGATTCTCTTGGAGAATGAGTCACATTCAAAAGATTTCTTCATTGCAGGACCTCTCAGAGGTGATGTACATTGTGAATCTCTTCAAAGAAGGGAATATTGTGTGCAATATTTCTTATAATGACTGGATCAAAGAAACTGAAGCATATCAAAGGTTCAGTTTTCTAAAGAAAAGAATGTACTTTGGGAAATGCTGGCCTACTTTTGAATTAAAAAACAAAACCCCCATACACATCATGCCAGTGTTAAGTACACCACTCAGAAAGTCATGCTACCAATCAAAGAATTATCTTTCTGTGATAGACTGCATTGAACTTAAGACCTAAGGGTAAAAATGCTGTTGCTTTTTCTTATTTTTTTCCTCTTATCTTTAGTTTTTAAATGTTCATTTAATGGTCACTTTTTTCCCGAGTTTTGGGAGGAGGTTATTTCTGTGCATGATTGTAAAATTACTATATGCTTAGTATAAGAAAAGTCCTAGGAATCCAGAAATATTAACACAGCAGCATTTTACAATGAACTTTCTTCAGTGATACTAATGTTTTTATCTGTGCTGTACAACGTAGTAGCCACTAGCTGCATGGGTCTGTCAATCGCTTGAATTGTGGGTAGTGGACAGGAGAACCGAATCCTTAATTTCTATTAATCTAAATTTATATAGCCACACGTGACCTAGTGGCTACCAATTTAGACAACACAGATATAGAGTAAAATGGGAAGAGTCTTTACTCGTTACCACCAACCCTCATCATGTCTACCTTTGAGGATAAAATCTCATTTAATGGTTTGATATATGTATCCTTCCAGACCTTTTTCTATGCTATAACAAATAATTTTAGATCTTTATTTGATTGTTTTAACAGAAATCATATTGCAGAACACTAGGTGTTACTTTCTGTATCATTATCTTTTTAGTAGCTGCCTAGTACCGTATTTAAATAGTACTATAATTTATTCAATCATTCCCCTAATGGTGGACACTCATGTTCTTTTTCAAGTTTTTGCTATTAGGATCAATAGTGCAATAAATATTTTATGTAATTTTGCTCATATATGAGTGTGTTTC